TGTCTGCAATCACACATATCAGTAGCTGCGTAAATGTGGAGCTTTGGCTCTGATGGAGAACAAAGGAAGGATTCAGAGGGAGGATTGATCAGAGATCATATTGATCTGATGGTTTATTAGTGTTTAGATTCATCCAGACTGATCATCCTGGATCTGAGCAGAACTTAAAGAAGGAGCCGAGCGGTACCGGTACCGGTCCAGCTGCAGCCATCCTTCAGTCGAGCCGCTTTGTGAATGAGCCTTATGGACATAAAGCATCTTTATTCTGTAAATGTACAACTTGATTCTACTATTTAGAATAAACGTCCACATTCCCACTCAAAGGACCCTCTGACTCTGTCTGTCTTTTAATCCCTGCTGACCACGCTACTGTTCAAACAATCTCTTCATTTTGGATTTTTTTTATTTGGATTGTTTTTCTTTAAAATGTATTTTTATTTTTGTGAGGTGACCTTGTGTGCCCTCAAAGCACCTTCTAAATAAAATATATAATTATTATTATTATTATAAATACTTATACTGCTTCAAACAAGGACATTGCCATAGTTACTGCTTCACGTGGTGGCAGACTTTCGGGTATTTATACTAATTTACATATGTATTTAAGGGTGGCGACAGGGCTGACCAGCAGCTGCGCTCTATTTTCTGCAAATTAGGATTTATATAAAGGAAAATTGCACGGCCATGTGTGTGCGCACAGCTTTATGCATCTGATTTTCTTTTGTGCACCTCATTTTTCTAAATGTTTCCGTACTCCAAGTTTTAGTGTCAAAACTGCACAGTCTTTTATGCATCAGGCTCCTGAAGAAATGTCCAGGGTCCAGATTAGGTCCTTCAGAAGTTGTTCAACTCCGGCTCTCGCACTGCGCTCTCCTTTCTTTCATGTGAGAAATTATCCAGATTCGCCTCAATTTTAATTTTTTTAAATTACAGCCAATAGTGACACAGTATGGCATTATCTAAAATGACACCGGTCAAACACCATATGATAAACAACTACAATGGTAAAGTTAGCCTTCCTGTGTTTACTCTGTAGACTCCAGTACAGAATGGACCAAAACGTGTCATCAACCCATCGGTGAAAAAATGGTGACCTCCATGGGTGAAAAATATATCAAAAGATGTACATTTTTGAAGTAATTATGTGTTTTGGCGTATCACAAACTGCAATTCTTTAGGTAATAGGAACATTGCAACATATTTAGTCCAACATGTTCAACTAGTCCTGGATCCTTTTAACAGAAACGTACAAAAAATAATAAAACAATAGAGCAATTAAAAAGAGCATTTGTACTTTAAAGAGTACAGAAAAACGGCAAAGAAAAAAACATGACAATTTTAAGATGTTGTGGACTTGCCATGTATGTGACATCATCAGAACTGACGATGATTGGGACCAGATGCCTGGGTGGAAAAACCTTTCTGGGTGTCTTCTTTGCCTGTAAAAAAATAGTCAGCAATGTCATGGAATCAGCTGATGTTGGCATCAACTATGAAGCTGTTTTAAGTGTGAACTTAAGGAGACAAACTACCTTAAAATCTTTCCTTCCATGATCTGAACACATTGATCCTTGCAGGGTGGTGAAGGGGCTGGTGGTGCCCATCTCTAGCAGTCATCAGATGAGAGGCAGGGTTCACCCTGGACAGGTCACCAGTCCATCACAGGGTCCTGAAAGTTAACAATGAATAAAATGTATGAAAGAGCAATGGTAGACTAATAAGGCGAAAAATTCTGTCCAATTATTTTAACATAAAATCATGTTTATTAAGCACTTAGTGTTGGAAAGACACCAGTTTTTGCTGTTGTTAAAAATGTGGCCAGCTGCTCAGTAAAAAAAATAAATTAAAAAAATGGATAGAAATGAAATGTGACCCACATTTCATTTCTATCCAGTTTTTGTCTACTAACCACAAACTATTATCAAGGCCCTCTCTATTTTTATGGCAATATTATGCTGGTAAAAATGGCTTATTTGAACAGCATTTCTTCTCCTCCCCGGCTTCATAATGATGCTGTTCTTTTTTTAATTACGCTTTTAAACCCCCCCCCCAAAAAACAAAGTGTGCATTCATCTGGTCTGGAGTGTGAACTGGAGCTAATGCTGTTCACTAATAGATAGATCTTACATCATACATCTGAAAATAGATTGGGTAAAGACAGCTTCCGTGTTTTAGTTAAAAAACTATAAACAACAGATTATATTTGGAGAGATGTAAAACTGAAGATACCTGCTACATTTAGTGTTAAGGACAAGTATTATTTTTGTTGTAGAACCTCTGTCACTAAAGGGTCATTGTTTGATATTTTGAGGCATGAACACATTATTTACTTTGATAAACAACATTACATAAGTTCCATTATAAGGATTGTTAATTTTTTTATTCTTTGCTGTTTTAACAAAATGGTAAAATATTATTAAGGCACCTAAAAAGGCATACTTTATTAGCCTAATGTATATACTAAGATGTAATTTAAATCATACTGAAATTTCAGTATATTTAATAGTTTACTTTTAAAGTAAATGTTTTTAAGTGAAATTTTAAACTTCACTTAAAAACTTCACTTTTTAAGTGAAGTTTAAACAATTCTATTGAGCATATATTTTAAAGTATTGTTAATCCACAGTATTCAGCCACGCCCCTAACTCCTCCCATCCACAGCGGACTGACTACTGACCAGCTCTCCATCTCACGGGTCCGAAAAGCCTCTAATTCCAGAGTATTACCGCAGATAAGAATTTAGAGAACTTTTGTTTAAGCTGGGCGCGGGAAAGATTCGTCTAAGCTCTAACTACCTACATCCAGACGTTATGCCCCGCTTCTGCCCATGATTCAGACAATCGGAGTAGCCCCGCCGGTATCCGAACCCATGAACCACATCTGTTCACGGTAGTTCTTCCCCTAATAATTAACGTGCACTTGTTACCGGCTTAGATAATTTTAGCGTCTAGGAATAAGTCACAGGGACATTATTTATCTGAACTAAAGAACGTACGAAGCCTCCTATTATACTTAGGGCCACAAACACTGACTTTATGTTGACCAGAAGAATTAAATCTAAATGACTCAATTAATTTAATTGTCCACAACATCAAATTAGACTTTAGTAATTTTATTAGCAAGCTTTAGCAGGGGAAAAGACATACAGCATTTCAATAAAAATTTAAGAAATTAAAACTTTTAAGAATTATCAGAAATCACTCCTACTTCTAACCCTACACTGTGTCTTAATCTAAATAGAGGCTTTGGGGGAGGCAGTATTACTCAAACCCAGATGCAGAGACGATCTTGCCAGCAGATAACTTTAACGTCCATGGATGGAGTCCTGTCTTTGTCTTGGCAGAATCCTTTCAGAATAAATCCAAAGTTGAACTGGTGAGAATCCTCAACGAACTCAGTTCTTTATCCACAAAAGATCTTGGTATATTCCCCATGTCCACTGCAGCATCGTTGTAATCCTTTGGGTTGAGTGCAGGGCCGCAGTCGAATCAGAATCCCGGGTTGTGGGTAAACGGATCTTGTTCCTTCCTTCTGCAGCTAACAGTCTCATCGCCCCGGGGTATCAGCAAGCAGCCCTTCCTTTGGTCTGCATTTCCATGTGTGCTCGACTCGAACGCTGCGGAACAAAGAACCCCGAACCTTCTATCTGGTGTCTTTTTATTCTTATCAGCAGCCACACACTTTCTTTCCTCATGTGCGTTTTTCCTTGACGTCAACTGTTCTTTGGTTAGCCTCAGACTACAGATGAACTTTATTTCTCCTGAGCTGCACTTTCAGTTCCCTGTCTGAATTCTGCACCTGTTTCCTCCGTACTGACTGCTTGGACAGATGATCTAATACCCATCACCATCTTGGAGACATGATGTCTGTTCTGATGACCTAATGTCTTGGTTACCTCTGCTCTCCTTTCGGTTTCTCTTTTCCCCTGACCTTTCACCTACCATCTACCTCCAACACAACATCAGTGACCTTTAGTT